TGTTGCAGGCTCCATACCTGACGTGGACAGAGCTAGGCCGTACGTACGGCCCTGTGATCTACCTGAGACTGGGCAGCCAGCGGATTGTAGTTCTGAACAGCTACGCTGCCGTACACGAGGCTCTGGTCAGGAAAGGGGAGGACTTCTCCAGCAGACCTGCCTGGTACACGTTTCAACTCATGGACTTTATAGACTATGGTAAGTATGGGTCATAACTTACATGTAGTATCAGTTTAGTACAGAACATGTACTAGGATCAGTTTACAGAACACAATGTCAGTTTACGGTACACGGTATAATCCTTTACAGAATATTTTACAGAATACATGACTGTACATTTATTTTTTGAAAGGCACTGTATCAGTTAAGAGAACGCAGATCTGTATCAGTTTACACTGAACACAGTCTCTCAGTGTGTGAGTTTACAGAACTTGGGAAACACAGTTCATGTATCAGTTTATGGAACACTACAATGTACTATCAGTTTACAGAACACAGTATCAGATTTCTGGGGCCTAAAATATCAAATTGCAGTCTGTAGAATAAAGTTTGAGATTCAAGAAAATGTTTAAATAACCGACAACTTGTGATTGCAACTTGGCAACCTAAAAATGTACAAAATGATTTTTTTTGGCAAAAACTTAAGGCCACGCCTTATAGTATTTTATTTACACAGCATGTGTACTTGAAGTCTTCTACATGTGTGCATTATGACAAACTTTGCTTGACATTTCATCTATACCTTGAGTTATTATTTGACTGTGACTTCTTGTTTTGTCACTTGCAAGCTAAGCCTGTCGGCATTAATTTAAAGAAAAAAAATATCATCATTGTACAGGAATAGTCATGCTTCCCTACGGACCATTCTGGAAGCAGCAGCGCAAGTTTACCATCATGGGTCTCCGAGACTTCGGCTTTGGGAAACGCAGTTTGGAGGGGAAAATCCTGGAGGAAATACAAGGGCTACGGGAGGAAATACTCAAGAAGGGAGAGAAGCCGTTCAGCATCAGGCTTCTGCTTCAGAACGCAGTTGGTAATGTCATCTGCTCCATAGTACTTGGCAAACGCTTCGAGTATAATGACAAGAAGTTTGAAAAGATCATGAAGGCTTTTGATCAAAATGTTGGTTTTGAACAACAGGTGGCAGCCATAGCAAACTTTTTCCCATGGGCACGGCACATTCCAGTGGTGAAGAGAGCTATCGCCAAAGTGCAGACCAACCTGGAAACCTGCCTTTCTGTCATGCGAGAAGACATTGCTGCGCACAAGAAAACGTTTGACCCCAACGACATACGAGACTTCATCGATACATTTCTGCTGGAGATGAGGAACAAGGTTTAGTCATCATTTGTCAATTTGCTCTAATTGTATGTAATGGTTTGTTAATGGTTGTTAATTTGAGACCTCATGTGTCAGTTTTAATCAAAATAGAGTATAATGGTACCTTATTGAAGATAAACCAGTTGTTTATTCCTTCATTTTTCCATCTATCCATCCGTCCCTCCATCCATTCAATATTCATTCATTCATCCATACATTCCAGGAAGAAGAAGAAGGAAATGACTTCACAGACAGACAGCTGGAGTACCTGATCGGAGACCTTTTTATCGCTGGAACAGAGACCACATCCAGCACCCTAACCTGGGCCCTCCTGTACATGCTGAGACACCCTGACGTACAAGAGAAAGTGCACCAAGAGATCGACCAAACCATCGGACAGAACGTCACCCCGTCTGTCAGCCATCGCAGCCAGCTGCCCTACACAGAGGCCGTCCTCGCAGAAGTTATGCGAATCAATCCCCTTGCCGCAAATGGCGTCATGCACAACACATCACACGACACCACCCTGTTTGGCTACGACATACCGAAAGACACGACTGTATTCCCCAACCTCTGGGCAGTTCTGCATGATCCCGAGGTCTACCCTGAGCCGGATGTCTTCAAACCTGAGAGGTTTCTGGACGACAGCGGTCAGTTCAGAAAGGGGGACAACTTCATTCCATTCTCTATGGGTAAGTTGGACAATTTTGTCGAACGGACATACAAATGTACATCATCACAATATCATAAATACAGGGTTCTCACCAGAATTTTTTTACAGGGAGTGTAGGGGCCTTTAAAACCTATTTTGGGAGCAAATTTTGTAACTTTTTGTTTGGTCCTAACATCACATAATGCTGTCTTCAATGTGAGCTCTGTGTTCTGTTGCCAGGTCGGCGTGTGTGCCTGGGGGAACAGCTGGCCAGGATGGAGCTGTTCCTGTTCTTCACCTCCCTCATGCAGCACTTCACCTTCAAACTGCAAGAGGGCGCCCCTCTACCATCCACCACGGGAAAAGTTGGGGTCACAAACACGGCCGAAGATTTCGATCTTCATGCCATTCCAAGGGAGTAGATTTTACATCGTGCAAAATACCTGATTGCCAAATTTTACTTGGGGCTGAAACCTATTTTTGAACCTAGGTAGCCCAGTGTGCTACCTGAATTTTAAGAATGCCCCTCCAAATCATGCCCACATGGCTTGCACCACTGTATCCGGCAGATGCTTTTTGAATTTAGGCTATTACTAGTATCAGTTAACTAGAGGCTGTTAGAAATATTGTCAAAGGCTAGTATGTATGTAACATTACTTAATTTGAGGAAAGTAGTAACTCATAGGTGGGGCAACCAAATTTTTCCGTATTTTGTACATTGGTAGAAAGTTGAACTGACTGACCAAATATGTGTTATTATTTGTCACATTATTGCGGTTACTTTACCCTAATTGTTTAATATATAATATGTGTATTGCATTTTGTTTTATTTTACTATACTCAATTCGTGTTTAACTTTAATTGACTTTTGAAATCGTATAACTAAATTATACTATAGGCTAAAGGCTGTATGACTTATATGATCCACCCTTCATATTGCTTGAATGTATATACATGCACACGTATTAACCAGTTAACACAGTTTTGTCACTCAAGCAGTACATGTAAGTAACTAAAAACTGTGTAAGAAAATGTGGTGTGCCAAAATATCATTCTAAATTTTTAACTTATTTATAATATAAGAAAATAGTTACTCGTTTCTCAAGCAACAGTTACCTCATTCTGTTTCCAAAATCTATCCAGTTGCTTCAGTAACAGTTTTCTTGTGTATCTTTAAGTTATTACCTGTATTATTGTCTAATCTTCATCTACATGTTCTCAACTTATTTACTACATTGTATGTTTATACAACTGTTACATAATAATATATGTAATGTTTTTGAAGGCATGGGAATTAAGGTTTGATAAAACTAATTATTAAGGGAGTGGATGATTTTGTTAGTGCTTTTATTCACTGAATGGGAAACTGTTAATTTAGGCCACACCAATTTAATTTCTTGGTTAACGGATTCGCCGCTTCATTTTTTCTGATTTGCAAATAAAAATCAAAATTCAGAATCGAGTGCAAAATGCTCATATTTTGCCCTGAACAGTTGAAAAAAGTCCTTTTCTTACTACTTGTTACAGTCATTCCATCTATCAATGCAATAGTATCATTAAAAGTTCAAAATTCATTCTTTAAATTTTGAACCAGCCTGGTGTGTTGACTTTATGGCTCCTATCATACCATTTTGGACCATAATAGGATGCCTAGGCCTGTTTTTATTTTTATTTTTTTTTCGCCCGTCCGCTCCATTATTTCTGTAGAAAAATCCGTTAACCAAGAAATTAAATTGGTGTGGCCTTAGTATAGATTGAAAGTGGGAATTCTATATTACGAGGTGCAAGGATTATGAGGAAATATTAGATTATGAATAAAGTCTCATTGCATAATATTGTATAAAAACTCATCTGTCTATGTTTGAATTGTTTGCATGTGATTTCAAAAGATTAACTTTCCAGCACAAAAAAATATCAATTTTGCACATGAAACAATTTCCTTTATGAAATCAAATTTGGGCTTATACAATGGAGTAAAGTCTCATATCGTTACATTTACAAACTAACTTTTCCTCGTGATAGTGATTTTTTTAAACATTTAATTTTCACATGAAAAAAGTTTGAAGTTCTTTTGTGCCTAAAGATATGCAAAATGTCTCATCCCAAGATACCTAAAATCTTTAAACAAGGAAGTCAGGTCACAGTATAACAGATGAGGAATGATAAAGTAATGTAAAATTTTGCGACCAAAAATGTTGTCAAACATTTCTTCACGCACAGAAGCCCGTTCCCCATCAGAACAATATGTCCAAAGTGCACTGAACATTGCCACGCCCACCCAACATCTGCTTGGAGATTGCAGACGACAGCAGTCTTTTCGTCTTCTTCTAAACAAAACAAAACTCCCGAAATTTGCCATGATGTTGCCTCAGACTTTTCAAAATTTTTTGCTTAAAATGACAAGGAAGAACTTAAGAAACAGCCTGACGGCAACTCACCTGATAAAACTGACGTTAAACAGCCTTCAAGGACGATTTTTGCCCGAGGTGTCCCTTCCAGTTCCAAGTCCCGTCGCCATCTTGATTCGCATCTCCCGGGTTCTATTTCGCAATGCACCATGGGTACCACCTGTTCTGTTCATAATGCATGAGCAAAATTCAATGTATCTAACGTTATATCTTTGTACTATAACAATTGTAAAATTCACACAGAGAAAAATGGCTAAAAAAAGTTCCAAGACAGAATTCGACTCCAGATATCTTACTGAGGGACGACTTCTGTGTACTAGATGTCAGTTAGTTTGAGGAATGAATCCACTCTACTATACTGTGTTACACATGTCTTAAACTTTGCTTATAATAACTGCAAGTAATAATTGCAGAATTCGCACAGAGAGAAAATAATAATGTTTCCATATTTTGCCATTCTTAAAAATCACTCCAGAATGATTTCAATGTAGTCAAGAATTGTCTCTGTATCTGTGATAACGTTTTTGTACTGCCGGAACATCTGTACTAATGCTCTCTGTAAATAACAATTGCAAAATTCACAGAGAGAAAAAATGTTTCCATAATTTGCCATACTTAAAAATTACTCCAGAATGATTTCCATATAGTCAATAATTGTCTCTGTGATAGCGTATTTGTAATGCCGGAACATTTGAACTAAAGCTTCTCTGTACATCTCGTATCTGAACGCGTAAAGAAGCGAGTCCGAGAACGTGTTAGTCAAAAGTACAATGTGCAGGACGTCCTGTGCCACAGTGAACGTAGACATCGTCACAACGTTCGAGAGAAAGAACATGAAAATCGGCGGCAGCCACGTGATCCAGTAGACCAAAAGGACGATTCCGAGTGTTTTTGTGGCTTTGAGCTTAGTTTCTAAAGCCTCTACCGGGACAGCGTCAGGGTTAGGGTTAGGAGTAAGGTTCCTGATGTTTTCCTGATGTCGTTGGGCCTCTCGGTAGATGAGGATGGCAAAGATGGTACTGATGATCATCATGGTCAGACAGACGACACTAGACACAGAAGCCTCCATAAGATCTGGTATACACGGGTAGATGCCTGTTGGGGCCGCCTGCATGAATGAATGAATGAATGAATGAATGAATGAATGAATGAATGAATCTTTATTTTCGTGTCTTGCGACCTTGACGTCGCTCAACCCATATGGGCTTATAAGACACCGGAACATAAACATGAGAATAAGTACAGAAATCATAGACACATAAATCCAAGTCCAAATCAAAGGTCAAATTAGATACATCAGATAAAGAACGTATTACAACGTCGTACATAACATAATTGGTACGTATACATAAAGTCAGAAGTACACAAAATCAAGTCAAAAGTACATTAAGTCAGCACAAAGGTACATTAAGATAACTGAACCTGCATGCCGTCTGCACCATGATACGTGGATACACGCACGGAACCGTTCCGTATAACTCCTACAAGCGGCGGCAACACGGAGACAAGAACGCACATCACCATGGACAACGCTATCCTCGGCCGCGACAACTTCTCTTCGAAAGTCATGGGACAGACGATCTGTATGTAGCGGCAAACCCAGAGACACAGCAGGAAAGAGTGGGCCAGGGAACCGACAACAAGGACGAAGAAAGCCTGGGTCTTGCAAGCGGCTCCGCTGAGAAAGGTCGCGTGTGTGGTGTTGTGGATACTCGATGGGACAAACAAGAGACAACTCGAGACGTCTGTAAGAGCCAAGGCCGCCAGGAAGAAGTTACCCGGCTCCTGAAAATAATAAAAAAAAGAGTTTACATTATTTATAGTATAATTTCTGTGGTATCAATTTCAAAGAAGGCATCTAGGTAATGATATAGACTAGAAAATTGTTATAATTTGTTACTCAGGCACCTGGATATGTTTAAAAACTCTCAACCTATCCAGTTGCTTGAGTAACACTTTTCTTGTTTATTCGTAACGAAAACTTCTAACAGGCAAAGGGCGAGACACTATTTCTTTAAATGGAAAATTTAAACATCTCGGCTCGCATCTGTACAGTATCTGAAAGAAAAGGTGCCGAGGCCATTACCATTACTTTCAGCCATCACGAGAAGACAGACTCTCAATGCTAACCCCGGCCACCCCAACTCCACAGCTTTGCCCAATTGAATTGCTGATAACTATACTTGACAGTGCATCCGGTCTATTTGAAATGCAAAGGTGAAAGAAAAAGAAGAAGGAATGTTGTGCCCAAGTAAATTGAGAGCGATAGCGGCGTTAGATCTACACAATAGATGCTTTGCGGAGAAACGGATAATTGGAGAATAAGGGTTAGGGTCAATCCTTGGCAGAGGTACAGAAGTGCCTAAGCCGTGCATTTAAAAGACCTTCTCTGCATTAAGCCACTTATGTGTAAAGTGGGTGTTTTTTGGATGAATGAGATCAGTTGCGTAAACCTGCTAATGATACTCATGGATTGCAAACATGCATGCCTTCAGATATGTTATGCAATACAACATCCTGTTTTGCGATTAGGGAAGGTTTCTGCCTCAAATCCGTCAATGGGAAGTGTATTTTCTTCTTCTTTTTACAAACATTTAAACTATCTATCTATCTATCGATCTCTATCCATCTGTCTATCTGTCTTTCTATCTATCTATCTATCCATCCATCAATATATCTATCTACTAGTATCTATCTATCCCTCGGCTTCTCTTACTCTCTCCCTGTCCTTGGTGCTGAACACCATCCACACGGTATAACACACCTGCCCTTTTTCTGGAACAAATGCGCACGGAAGCATGCACACGTACACACACGCACACACACACACACGCACACACACGCACACACACGCACACACACGCACACACACGCACACAAACGCACACACACATACGCTGCCAAAAATATCGCACCCTATGTCATATAGGTTTGAATAAAGGGGTGCAATACTAAATAGTAGTTAAATAAAAGGATGCAAAAAATTGAACGATTGTTCTCCTCAGACCTACGATGTAATTGCGACATCTTCTCGGAAAATAAAACATCGTAGGTGCATCGTACGATATCTGTGGAATGGACCTTACCTGCATGGTCTCCCTGGTCGCTTAATGTCAAACATATTACTTACACTCAGCACGTTAAAAACACCTGTCTTTTATCCTTACAACGGAAACGCACACACATAGAGAGAGAGAGAATTATATTAACTATATATAAACTACTGGAATGTGCTGCCAACGATCGTATTGCAAGCCATAGAGTTGAGGAAAAAAACGGGTGCAAAAACTGAACGATTGTACTCGTTTCTTCTCAAACCTACGATATCACGGAAAAAATCACCGTAGGTGGACCTTACCTGCATGGTCTCCCTGGTCGCTATAGTCGCCACCAGACAGCCGTTTCCCGCTATGGCCATCAGGAGGAAACAGACGAGTAGAAAGACGACGACATGTCGCCATGCCGGGTACAGTCCGCACAGACCACACAGGACGGGACTGAAGCTAGAAACTGTCGCTGTCGCGTTTCCCAGCGTGACATTTCGGCTGACGACTTCGCAGGCGGTGAAAGTGAAGTTGTCTAATGTTTCGAAACCTGCCATATCTGTATCTGTATAGCCGGTATAACCGCCCTTCGGCGTAACACACCAGCTTCTGTATCTGTATAGCCGGTATAACTAACTGCCCTTCGTCGTAACACACCAGCTTTGCAGGCACGTGGCGCGGCGGCAGCTGGCTACAGTATACCGAACGACCTGTTACACCTAACCTCTATCTCCCTATGTCTGATGGATCCTCAGGTAAAAGTGACTAGTGAAAATAATCTCGACCCAGGTCAGCTTACTGCAGAGCTAATCTCCCACCGATCGTGACAGAGAAGGCAGGCGATACGTACAGTACTTACAGGGAAATTCTCCTAGACTTTTCGACAGGTACAATGAACAGTAGACGTCGAGAGGGAAGCCCAGAACCGAGCTGGATGGAGGAGGATCATGGGTGGCCTCCACGGTGAGCGACAACAGCCGGGATTCAAACTCGCAACCTGTTGGTCCAGAGCACAGTTACAGTGGCTAACCAGCTCTTTTTATAAAGACAGTCACATGACACGCTGGCTCTAGAGCTTTTATATTTTCTATATATATATCACTCCCGCACGGAAAGGTCTCCACGTGTGACATAACTAATCTGCACAATTCAAGGCGACTATCGTACAGCTATCTCGAATTTGAGTTTTGAATTTTGCCCCAGGATATGATCTGGATAACAAAACCTTAGCATTCATTCGCACACGTAATTACTGCAGATCTGTGTCTCTTACATAATAATAGAGTTTGAATGTTGAATCTTCTTACTCTAACGGGATGTACGCCGTATGAAGTATAAATCTCTCAGTTCCAGAGTTTAAAAGGAAGCTGTGCAAAGAAAATCTTGCCAGTACCACTCGACCACATCAGAACAAACAGTCAGTCGAAAACGGAGATGGGTTGTTTTGACATGTTGCCATTTAGTCTGGTTCTCCAGTTGAAAATAGAGACTGTCAAGGCCGTGATTTGGAATGGAAGATTATCTTCATTTGTACTTTCCCTCAGGATAGAACATCTCTTTTCATCGGCATAATTGCAATTACCGAGTCTGAAGAAATTGACGTAGACTTTTATCTTTAAAGCCCCCGTGCATTATCTTCATGCATTTGATGTCCTTGATTCTGTTCATGCATTTCTCCACTGGCTGTCATTGCATGTCTGGGGGTTAAATTTGAATTGAATTTAACTCATATTCGATTCGATTCCTATAGAAAGATAGGATAGATGTCAGACTGCTCCCAACCTTCAGCCAACCTTGGTTGGTGGTTTGGGTGAAGATTCTAAATGTGTGACAGGGGCTAAAACGAAGGGACTACTAAATAACCATGGAAAAATTCTAAGCACATGCTATTCAATGACCCTCATCTCGCCTCATATTAAGATGGTGCCTAGTGAGAAGAAAGAGGAGTTAAGGATCCATCTAAATTAGATCACTTCAGTTCATACGCAGGATGAAACTTTCATGTGCAGTGAAAGTCTTTACTGACGTCAACAAAATTTCATATCCATACTCACTGCCGCCAAGGGTGGTTATCTACTATCAGCTAGATCGTGTTCTGTACGTGTTAAATCAGCGGAGCAAATTAAAAAAACTGTACAAGCACTGTGTCTAGTCGATGAGCTTTGATTGTTACCAACTTTCAATTACAGTAATGCCTGGCCTTGTAAGTAGCGTTGTGCATGGTGTGTGAGTGTGTAGGTGTCTAGCCTCCTTCGCAGAATTTTTAGAGCAGCGACGCTTATTTTTTGAGGGGGGCACTGATACCTTTTTTTTCCACGGGCTAAGGTTCTATAATGCCGCAGGGGGACTTATGCCTACATGTATCTATGAATGAATGAATGAATAAAACCTCCGAAAAGAAGCCGCCGCTCTAAGGCTTTCGCAGAAAAAACGCTGCAGATAGAAGTCTGTGCAGGAGGCCAGGGATTCTAGCCGTGTTATACCGTTTGAAGAAAGTGAAAGTGATCTCGAACCAGTTTAGCTCATTGAAGAGCTACTCTTCCACTGGTCGTGACAGAGAAGACAGACGCTATGTACATTATTTACAGGTTCATTGTACCGGGGAAATTCCCCTAGCTCTTTTCGACAAGCACAATGAACAGTGGACCACAGTTAACGTCCCGTCCGAAGGACTGCGACCCTAAACAGTAGCGTGCATGTCGGGTGAGCAACATCAGCCGGGATTCGAACTCCCAACCTCTTAGTTCAGAGGCAGGATCGCTAACCACTGGACTACGCACGCTACCCGAAGGCCGCTATAGACTCCGTCAGAAGCAAAGTGAACTCCTATGGCCGGCTAATTTCCCCTGGCGTATACGCTCAGTCCATTTGGCCAAGTTTGGCAAGGCGAAAGCCACACCTCGAGCACGTTAAAGATCTCACAGCACTTATCGCAAAGAGCAGGGGTCATTCTGGTGTGAGTGGTTCAATCAAACATTACAGTCTGACCTTACGTGGCTTGTAATGTACAAAACTGGTGTGTTACGCCTAAAGGCGGTTTACTGCTTATGCGAAACAAACTTTCAAACAAAAGACTTTAAAATAAAAAGTCGAAACCGGTAAACAGTTAGTCTCAGCCATCATCCTTCGGACGAATCCTTGACCGCGAAAAACAAACAAACAAACAAACAAACAAACAAACAAACAATTCTTTCGAGTCTGGTGGGGACCAGCCATTCTTCTAACTACCTTTCATTACAATAGAAATGAAATCACCCACTTGCGTCGCGTCCAACGTTAATACGTTATCTATTATCTAAACATTGTTTGCTCTTCATGCATCTAAAAACAGTATCAGAATTGAGCGCTGCGTCACATCACAGGGACCCCTCTTAAGAAAAATGGAACGCGCCATTTCCTGCCCCACTATTTATCGTTCTAACAACTGCTACTAAACGTCGCCACCAGAATAGTCTGTGACGAACATCGTCACCAAACCGGCAACATGAAAACATTGGCCACACTTGTGTTTCTGTGGACGGCGCAGACTGTTTGGTGTTACGACGACACGAACTTTGTGGCAGCCGTGTACGAACATGCGGTAACGTGGGCGTCTGACCCAGGCCAACCCCCAACCCGACAAGAGGCGCTGGACTTCATGAAACCAAACCTGGATGTCTACCAAGTTCAAACAAGAGAGGCCAAGTGGCGGGTAGGATCATGACTTCTCGCTTAATAATGTTTTAGAGGGAATGTTCAGAAAGTCCATTAGTAGTATGCCTTTGGGTACAACCCTAATACGTTTTCTAAATGCAGTCTCATGTCTTTCCTTTTTCTTGAGTTTCTTTACCATTGAATCTTGGACAAAACTCAATTACGGCGCGCTCACATGCGACATAGGACGTCGTAGCATGATTTTGATGCCGTGGAATTTTTAAGCAGGCTGTTAGGCTGAACCAACCGCCAAAAAAGATCTAAGGCAGCCTTTTCCGCAATAAACCAGCCGAATTTCGCAGGACAAATGCATGGCCATATTAAGAATTTCCTCAGTTGGCACTCGTATGATGATCATACGACGTATATGACCTAGCGGACGTTGACCTGCCTCCTCATCCTTGCTATCAGCAGTTTTGTTTGCTTACAACCTTGTAAGGCACGGAGACGGAGACTCGGAAAGTCGGTGTAAAAGAAGGATAAACAGGCGCAAAACAAAAACAAACAAAAAAAGAAGTAACGAATATAAGTAACTTATAAGCCAGAGCTATTGGCAAAATGTATTCACAGAGTAGCGCGTTTGCCTGTCATGTATACGTTTATTTAGTGTTATATAATATTGAAATGACCCTTAGCGAAGGTTGCTTTTCGGCAAACAAAGCGTACTTACCGCTGGCACAGTTTGCTTACTCACTGTGATAAAATATAACCTTTTGGCCAAAGTGCGACATAGATGTATTGGTGTTGCAACACTTTGTGTTAATTGTCTCATAAATATCTTCCAACCTCTCTTTTCTGCTTCAAGTTAGGAGTTTTCTGTTTGCTTTTTATTGGGGTAGCAACACTTTGTGTTAACTGTCTCATATCATAAATATCTTCAAGCTCTTTTTTCTGTTTCAAGTTAAGCGTTTTGTTTTTACTTTTTATTGGTGTACCAACACTTTGTGTTAATTGTCTCATAAATATCTTCAAGCTCTTTTTTCTGTTACAAGTTAAAAGTTTTGTGTTTGTTTTTCCCATAGGGTGCGGACATAATAGTGTTCCCCGAGGACGGAATTTACGGATTCCAATCACGAGACGACTTATATCCGTACTTGGAGACGATCCCCGACCCGGAGAGGATCGTATGGAACCCTTGCGACGATCCCGGCCGCTTCAACGACACCCAAGTCCAGCGTGAGCTCAGCTGCATGGCCAAAGAAAACGACATCTACGTTGTCGCGAACTTCGGCGACAAGCAGTTTTGCCAAGTTTCTGAAGACAGTTCCTGTCCTACTGACGGTAGATACCAGTTTAACACGGACGTGGTCTTCGATAATGAGGGCACACTAGTCGCCAGGTAAGTTTGATAAACACTTCATAGTCCTCTACAATATTATCGCTCCATTCTTCGTCACCAGTTCTTGTGCCTTACAATGTTATTGTCGATTTTAATTACTTGTCTGTCAATTTTACAGTGACTTGTTTTATAACTCTATCATCGCTGACTAGAATATATGTATACGTGATAGATAAGTTTACAATTTAGTATGTATTTGCAGTAGTATGAAGATCTGACTGTATTTGTAAACAAGCCTGACAATTCGGCCTTCCAGCTGCAACTGGGCTGTAATTTTAGTAAAAGGTTGAACTTTATTCCAACACACAATTGTACAGGGATAAAATTTTCAGCGACCACTGTCGCCTTCATCAGGATAATTAATGACTAATCACTTCACAACGTGATCTCGCGAGAATTACGGTTTACAAACACGTGACCTTATCTTACAGACCTGGTCTGTAATTTTCTTAGTAATTGAATAAACCATTTTACAGGTACCACAAGGAGCACCTGTTCATGAGCGAACTCCAGTTCAACCGCCCGCCGTCAGTGGAGTTCACAACTTTCCAGACCCCGTTCGGAAGTTCGGCGTCTTCGCCTGTTTCGATGTCCTGTTCCGCGACCCTGCTGTTGGTTTGGTGGAAGACTACGGCGTGGACACGATCGTGTTTCCGACGGCATGGATGGACGTTTTGCCGCTTTTCGTGTCCGTGGAATTCCACCAAGCCTGGGCTATGGGCATGGGCGTCAACTTCCTGTCCGCTAACACGCACGTTATCGAGAGACGTATGACCGGAAGTACTATCTCAACCCCTTCCGGTGCCGTTAGCTACTATCACGACATGAGCTCCACCGAAGGAAAGCTATTGGTCGCAGAAATCCCCATCAAACCAATGAAAAGGGCCGTTACGTCGACGGAGCTACCAATCACAGAGCACGACACAGCGTTTGTTTCTGACTTGTTCGGCGACCCTTTCACTTTCGTTGAGCTGCAGAAGGAAAGCGATTACGTCATTGTCTGTCAAAATGACTTGTGTTGTAGCCTGAATTACACAAAATCGGGAAGCACGTCGGAAATCTACGCTTTCGGTGTCTTTGATGACCTTCACACGAATGAAGGTCAATACTACCTACAGATTTGCGCACTCGTCAAGTGCGCCAACTCGTCACGTGACAGCTGCGGCCAGCCAACCAGCGACGCGCAGACGACATTCTCGCACCTCCAGTTGGCGGGAAACTTCAAGTTCCCTCACGTCTTCCCAGAGGTTCTGACGAAGGGTGTTGGAATGGACCTTGCAGTGGGTGAATGGAGTTACCAGGACGGTGCCTTAGTAAGCACATCCGGGATCTCCACGCCTCTACTTTCTGCCGCTCTATTCGGAAGGGTGTACGAAAGGGATGACGGGAAATTCAGGCATGCAAGTGGCGCGAAGCAGCTCTGCCCTTACTCCCTTCTGCTGTTCATCTTGTTTTCTGTTTTACAGGGCACTTTAGTCGAATGATTGTACATGTAACTGTACAAGGAAAACGGCTCCGCACCTGAGGCGTCGCCAAAAAGGCACCTCATGCACGAGGTCGTGCTTAGCGAAACAGTTCTCTAATTTTTAACTACAATGTGTGTGTGTGTTCATGTGTGTGTGTGTGTGTGTGTGTGTGTGTGTGTGTGTGTGTGTGTGTGTGTGTGTGTGTGTGTGTGTGTGTGTGTGTGTGTGTGTGTGTGTGTGTGTGTGTGTGTGTGTGTGTGTATGTGTGTGTGTGTGTGTGTGTGTTTGCTTAGTAAGGATAAAGGACAGGTGTGTTTAACATACTGAGCATAAATAGTATGTTAGTATGCTTGACTGTCAGTGAATGGAGTTCAGCTTCAAACGCAATGAGAAAAAGACACTGTCAGAGAAGCCCTGGGGCTCAAAGGACAGGTATGTTTGACGTGTGTTTGCGTGGAGAGTATCGTAGTGAAGAGGCGATGTGCCTTCAAGAGGTCAACAGAGGACATGGTCATGGTAGGTACGGCTACAAACCTAGCTGAAACGCTATCTAACGGTTGTTTCTTGAATCACACCCAGTCATACAGTTAGAAATATTGTTACGCTCACCAAGGATATGTTGTCAAATGTTCACATGTAGTTATTCTAAAGTAGTCTCACCTCGTCTTTCTTTCTATTGAATGATTAAACGTTTTTTAAACAACGTTTTGCTTGTTTTGTTATATTTTATATCATACTTTATAGCATACCAAATTGCCCGGACATGAAATTTAACACTAGCATAACGCAAACATACGTCCGAACACGATAGTGTTATGTTTGTTTGTTTGATGTCACTTCACTTCAAAAGGACGTACATATGCGTACAGTAGATATTCGGGACCCCCATTTCAGCACCAAGGACATCGCCAGTGGACGGACTTTTACTATAAACCGGCCACTGCCAACGTTACCCGCTCTTGGGAATCTTGGAGTGGTGCGCGGAAGTACATCACTTCAATAGCACCTACGAATTTGCACAGTACATATTAGAGACCCCCATTTCAGCACCAAGGACATCGCCAGTGGACGGACTAGTATTACTGTACTGCGGCCGTTGCTAACGTTACACGCTTTTGGGAGGCTTAGGGCCGTGCGCGGAGTATAGCACTTCAATAGCACCTACACACGTGTACAGTAGATATTAGGGACCCCCCATTTCAGCACCAAGGACATCGCCAGTGTGCGCACCACCGCTGTACTCCGGCCGTGGCGCTATCGATACTCGGAGCGGCAAGCGGACGCCGTGTCAAGCCTGGAAAAATGTTTGCCAGACCTTATAACGAATATACATGTACAGTAGGGACTAGGGACCCCCATTTCAGCACCAAGGACATCGCCAGTAGACGCACCACCTCTGTACTCCGGCCGTGGCACTATCGATACTCGGAGCGGCAAGCGGACGCCGTGTCAAGCACGGAAAAATGTTTGGCAGACCTTATAATGTATAAACATTTACAGTAGGGACTAGGGATCCACATTTAAGCACCAAGGACATCGCCAGTAGGCGCACCATCGCTGTACCTAAGCGTACCCATATCACTACGTCTTTGAAGAACTGTTTGGTAGAACTGTTTGGTAGTATCAAATAGTATGCATACTTCAATATTCACCTTACATTCCTGGAAAACCACATTATTGTTGAGCTGCACGTATGACGTGTAAGGTAAAGGTGGATTACATTTATAATCTCACTCCTGTTACAGCGAAAATTAAAGATAGATATAATTCTGTTCTCAGATAAACGAGATTGAAACCTTACGTGGGTTATATTGTGTATTGTTGTCACATATACGGTAGCACCTACGAGACCTTGGGCCTCGCCAATTCAATTTGTTGAATCTCGGATTCATCCCCCTATTTTTGACTAATTTGCAAACATAAAAAAACATATTCGTGTACCATTCAGATATTAAACCTAAATGCTCTTATTGTGGCCACAACAATTGAAGACACCCTTGTTCAGCTCTTGCATTTTTCCCATTTATCAATGCAGTGATTTTATCAATAAAAGTTTCATTCTTTGAATTAAACACCAGCGCAGTATGGTCACTTATTGGCTCCTTTGGTAATATGTAGGATATCAAAAGATGCCTAGGACTGTTTTCATGCCCGCCTACTTCATAGGTTTCCAAACATCCGAGAACCAACAATCTGGGGTGGCCTTAGTTTAACCGTGATCGCTAATGGACCTTGCCTTTATTACTGATATAGTATTACTTTATCACTTAGTGCATTATTGCATTTTTTATACATTGGAGTAATTCAAGAGATTCTTACTGCGCCGGCAGCCAAATGACTTCTAGCACGATTACATCTGTCAAATAGACTTAAGTTGCCACTTTCCAAACATGGTACACATAGACACGCTATCATGGATACAAGGCCCGAAAGCAACATGTGTTCTTTGCCACTATTCAACAGAGATGTGCGTGTGGTAAGACTATCGCCGAGCTAAGTTTTTTTTTCTTTCTTTTTAATGTTTTCACTTTTTTGTTTCCTACCACAAGAAAATTCAAAGTGATTTCTTGCCGGGAAATGATCTAATTGATTTCAGAAGTAAAGTATTTATCAAAATCGTTACAAAGTATTGTTTTTTTTATCAGATAAAGTACGTTGGCGTACCCATGCATGTTCAGAATACTTATGCTGACTGCACAACTAGACAAATAAACAAAATCATAAGTAAGCACAAAATGAATTTGTAAAAATCACAATATATCATTAACTAATGCATTAAAAAAAGATTGTATAACAACGTGGTTTTGACAGCGCAAATCCACCCACCCATACAATGCCGATAGATTTAATGGTAGACTAAACATAAATGTAGAGAAAAACCAGGATTTTTTTGTAGTGGCGATAAAATTATTCATTAAAAGTCCGCGTCTACATACATGTGCCCACCCTTTTTCGCGAGTCACGACGCGTTGTTTTACATGGAATCATGTATTATGTATGCTCCTATTGGCTATGCGCTTGTGTGGTGATAAATACTGGAGCCTAACGCTGTACACGTTCCGTCAGGGGTCGGCAGTTCCTCAAGAATGTTCGCTGTGCGGCGTGGTTCTCAATTCTTCCCTGTACCACCCTCTATACTGTCTCAACAACACTCCTGAGACACCTAAGAGGTAAGAACGTTTTTCTTTTCTCGCTCTTTGCAGTTGAGTTTTCATGTTTCAATCTCCCAATGTCAGTAAGATTGCAAACTGACGGAATTCTTGGGGTGGTTTTCCATGTGATGTAAAAAAAAAATTAGCTATTTTCTTGTGTAAAACAATGTCTACGATCCTTGCAATTGTTGACGGCCTGGTCTAAATTATACAACACCAGAATCGTAAGACAGCCTGGCCTGACGAATGTATCCAGGCCCTGCTAGGTTCGACGTAAGGTTGCAAACTGTGAGAATTCCTGTGATAGTCGTGCAAAATTCTTACGGAAACAAATGTCTACGATCTTTGTCGGCGGTCGGTTCTGTAACAGTCTGCTCGAAAATGCGTAATTGTAAGAATTATACGAATGTATCCAGGCCCTATCTAAAGGAACGCCAAAGATTGTTGTTGTGGCGGCGTGTTCAAAGTCAGACACAAGTCGTCAGAACTCGGGGGCGGGCTGTTCTAAACACACGGACAGACTAATCTTACACGTCTGCAACAGGCGTTATTATTATATAATTGTAAACAAGGCGCTTAAAAGGTAGGTTTTAACTACGATACTACACCTTATTTCTGTATCTGTATCTATATAGCCGGTATAACCGCCTTTCGGCATAACACACCAGCTTCTATATCTGTATAGCCGGTATAACCGCCCTTCTGCGTAACACACCAGCTTCGCAGGCACGCGGCGCGGTGGCAGCTGACTACATTACACCGATCGACTTGTTACACCTAACCCTTGAACATCTAACTGTAGACATTGTTTGAAGCTATCTAATGACAATGCCCTTACTGTACTTGGTGACAGCGAGTTCCACTCTGCGAAGTTATAGGAAAGAATGAATTCTTGAACACCTCAATCCTTCACGGGTTGATAACTCTGGTACTTGAAGACATGGCTATTTCTTGCTCTCTTCTGGGCTGGTATTAGGTACTTACTCGTTGGGACGTCCACCAGTTTATTAGTCATTTTGTATATTTACAGTCTGAATTTTCTCGCTTATCTATCGGTAACTGGTGTGGACAGGAGCAAGACGAATTTGTGTGGCTCTAGGTGGACAAGTAGGAAAGTGAGCTCTAATATCGGTAATTTATCGTCTACAAAGGCACACAACAAGTACTTGCCGGTAGCAAGTAAAGTTTCATAACGCACTGTGATACACGCGCTGAAACATCCATTTTTCACCACTGTGGGCTTTAGGTTGAATTTACGATTCTGCAATGGTTCAAACAAACCAACAATGAAACCATGAAAAGGTACAATAATCCTACAACAATGAATTTTGAACTTTTAATCGAAGTACTGCATTGTTAGATGAGAAAACTGTAACAACTAGGAAGACAAGGACTATCATCAACTGTTTGAGCCAAATTTAGCATTTTTGAGTTGATTCAGAATCTGAATTCTTTTTTGCACATCAGAAAAAAATGGATTGAAGCGGGCAAATCCAAGAACCAATTCATAAAATTGGTGTGGCCTCATGATAGATGTGAGAAGACAGGGGGATACAGAAATGGTTCAACACTTCCTGGAAATTTCTGTTTATAGAAATCCAGACAAATTGGAAGCTTGGTGCTGTTTCCTGAATACAATCCTGGTGCAGTAAGCTCTGTTTATCAGGGATTCAGAACTAAAACTGTGCACAGACAGCGGGAATGTGATAGGATAGCTGCTTGTACAGTCATTTCTCATATATAATGGTTTGGTAGATAGTAGGTACAATGTAATACTATATAATAGCACTTTTATACACCCAGAAATGGAGCTGTGCACCTAATTTTTGCTTGTGGGTGCACCTATACATTACTACTAGATATTTGTGTATGGCCACAGCAAGTAATTTTTATGGATGACATCTGCGTGCATTCATTTTTGCCTTATTCTGGGAAAAAATTGTGTTGCCCTCTGACAATGGTCAACATGCCAAAAATAGGCAAAGATTTGTATTTGCCATACCAGACCTAAAACTGTGCAGCAGACAGCAGGAATGTGATAGGATAGCTGCTTGTAGAGGCATTTGTCAAACATAATGGTTTGGTAGATAGTAGCCTGGGTACCATCCGGATTTTCGCTCCGCAACGCTCGAAAAAATAGAGCGTTGCGGAGCAAAAATCCAGATGGTACCCAGGCTAGGTAGATAGGGCCTCGGAAAAAAAATGTTGTGTTTCCTATTTCGCGACCGACCCTAGAAAATACTGCCTTTTTTGTCCCCGTTTTTAATTGGGGTATAACAAAATTTAAAAAAAAAAGAAGGAAAACTGGACAAGAGAGACAGGAGGTTTCTTAACTATTTTCTTTTTTTAAAAACTTTTCGACGTTACTGAGACATAGACAAAGGAAAGGGGACAGAAAAAGGATGTGCTAAGCTACCTACGACAGGTCACTGTCCAAGTGCTAGCCTTTCTTGTCCCACCCCTGATAGACTTCATGTTCTAGTTCTAGTTCTATACAATGCTGGACAATGCCCCTCTCAGGGTGTAACGTACAGGGGGTTAATGCCCTGAT